ACTCTTTTAAATTTTTAATAGAAGGGTTTTCTGAAATCTGATTGTGCCAAATTTGATTAATGTTAATTGAAGATAGCTTCAAAATCTTCAAATTAGGAAACTCAACCTGCAAAGAGATCCACTGTTATCAACAACTTTTTTTTAATCCAAAGAAAACAATGTTATACAATTCCAAATTAAGAATATAAGAATAAAATTCATAACAATTCCAAAATAAGAATATAAGAATAACATTTATAAATATTTCCGATGATGGCAGTAGACTCTGTTTGGGTTAATTTAACATTGTTTGAGTAATTTGACATTTTAATTGAAAATGTGAAAGAATATCTAGCCACAAACTGTTTATGGTGATTGATATAACAAAAGTAAATAAATAGAAATTGTTGTATCAGCATCAAAATTCCAATCACCTTTTAAAGAAGCACAAAAATAATTTTTTTTAAAAAAAACTTTATTACTGAAAAAAGGTTAAGTAAGAACGTTTAAGTGTTATATTAAAATTTTTATTCTTGAATCAAAGAAAACTGTAAGAGTGACATGGAAGCATGAGTATGAATTTCATATGATATAAATTTTGAAGAACAAAGAAAAGTTTAGTTAAAGTGGAGTGGCAATACTCAGGCTTTCATACTTCTTATCACTACAGCATATATTTCCATTATATGTAATTTATAGATTAAAAATATATGAATATACGAATTCTCTATATAGCCTTTTGACCATAAAGTTATTGAAGTGATGTAGAGTAGTGGAAATTATGCTCATGTAAAAAGAGTAGATGCTATAGATTAAAAAAATATGAATAGCCTTTTTGACTTTTGTGCATCAAATACATTTGTGTCCACAAAGTTATTGACCTGATGTGGAAGTGTAAAAATTATACTATGCAAAAAAGGAACAGTGAAGTCTTGTTCTTATCAATTTTGTGAAGAAATTTTAAAAAAATAAAAAAATAAAACTCACCTTATCACAGAAAAAGGGCTCAACGAAGATATTACGTTCTTTCTTGACAAGCATTTCCTCACTTCTTCCATCAGTTGTCTCTTTCTCTTGCTCACTTGAAAATTTAGAAGTGAATCTAGCCATCTTTAGACATTCCTTTACAATAATTTCCTCCAACATTGGAAACTTGAGGATCTTACTTCCCACATAGAAACTTGACAACTCTGAGCAAGACTCCAGTGAAATGGACTCTAGTTGTGGGAATAATATTGAGTCAGATTCAACTACCTCTCCAACTCTTGTAGCTATGATCACTTGTTCTATTGCTGCACAGTCTTTTACCTTCAAGTCCTTGAGTTGCCCAAAGCGCAATACCATAGAAGGGGTTAGAAGGTAGCTCAAACTGCTACAATTACAAATTTCTAGATGTTGAAGCTTTTTGAAAGATGAGATTGCTTCATGATTCTTGTTCCAAATTTGACTAATGTTAATTGAAGACAGCTTCAAAAGGTTCAAATTGGGAAACTCGACCTGCAAAGAGATCCTCTATTATAAATAACTTTTTCTTAATCCAAAGAAAACAACATTATAAAATTTCAAATTAAGAATATGAGAATAATGTTCATAAACATTTCCGATGATAACATCCATCTCAATTTGAGTTAGTTTAACATTGTTTGAGTAATTTCACATTTTAAGTAAAGGTGTGGAAGAATATTGTATAGCCATAACTGTTTATGGTGATTGATAACAAATAGGTAAATAAATGGAGATAGTAGCATCAGCATCTAAATTCCAAACACCTTTTAAGGAAGTACAAAAATAATTTTCACAAAAAAAAAAAAATAATGACCTTATCACTAAAAAAAGGGTTAAGTATGTTAGGCCTTATGTTAAAACTTTTCTTCTTGAATAAGAGAAAAGTGTTGGAATGACATGGAAGTATAAGCATGAATTTCATATGATATTAATTTTGATGAATTAAAAAAGTTTAGTTGAAGAGGAATAAAAGTACCTAGGCTTCTATACTTGCTATGGCTACAGTATATATTCCCATTATATGTAATTCATAAATTAAAAATATATGAATATATGAATTCTATATACAGGCTTTTGAACATAAAGTTACTGAAGACGTAGAATAGTGGGAAATTATTCTCGAGTAAAAAGAGTAGATGCTATAGATTAAAAAAATATGAAAAGTCTTTTGACTTTTGTGCATCAAATACATTTGTGTCCATAAAGTTAATGTGGAAGTGTGGAAATTATGCTATGCAAAAAAGGAACAGTGAAGTCTTGCTCTTATCAAATTTGTGAAGAAATTTTAAAACAATAAAAAATAAAAAATAAAACTCACCTCATCACAGAAAAAGGCCTCAATGAAGATATTAAGTTCTTTCTTGACAAGCAATTCCTCACTTCTTCCATCAGTTGTCTCTTTCTCTTGCTCACTTGAAAATTTAGAAGTGAATCTAACCATCTTTAGACAGTCCATCACAGTAATTTCCTCCAACATTGGAAACTTGAGGGTCTTACTTCCCACATAGAAACTTGACAACTTGGAGCAAAACTCTAGTGAAATGGACTTTAGTTGTGGGAATAATATTGAGTCAGATTCAACCACCTCCCCAACTCTTGTAGCCATGATCACTTGTCCTATTGCTGCAGAGTCTTTTACCTTCAAGTTCTTGAGTTGCTCAAGGCGCATTACCATGGAGGGGGTTAGAAGGTAGCTCAAGCTGCTACAATTATTAACTTCTAGAGATTGAATCTTTTTGAAAGGTAATGCTAATTCTTCAGAATTCCTTTTCCAAATTTGAATTAACTCAGAAAACTCGAAGAGTTTCAAACTTTCAAACCCAAAGTATCCAACCTATAAAACCCAACAGATTAATTGCCTTGATATGACACAAAACTCAATAACAATAACAATGATATTAATCAAAGAAAGAAAATACATTAATAACTCTATCCAATTAATCACAAAATCAAATTAGAGAAATATACAAAAATATTCCTTTAAGTTTTTAAAATTAAAGTTGTTTCCTCTCTGTCACTACACTAACGTCTCTTTGATTATTAAATTAAGGATTATAGAAAATGAATGATC